TGTTTCAGTTTCCGCTCTTTTCTGATTCATACCATTTAACTTCCAGTTTATACTAGGATTAGAATTAAGTCTGAATTAAAGAAGTATTTCATAATTAAAATATTGTTTAGCATATTCCTTACGTCTTGATGTTGAATATAGTTTTCCGTAGAAGCAAAATAGAAGATCAATATTACATTTAATGCATTAAACGTACCAAATTCAGAAAGTAGAAATCTTGACCACATCTCTGCTATGCAGTTGGCTGCTTTGAACAAGAAATGGTGCAGCTAATTTGCTATTTTTGCCAAGAAACTCGACTCGATTGCTACACCTCCTCACTTCCGATCCACTTCCTCTGTCTTACAACAATTTTCTTGGAGAATGAACGCTACAGAAAATCTTTGCAGAGAGTTTCCTCATTTTTAGCAAATGTGTGCATGTTTTCTGTATTTTCAAGAAGAAAAAAAAACAGAAGAGTGCAGTCTTCTTCAAACAACCTGCAAAACTTTTAAAGTAAGACATTTAAAGTGCATTACAAAGCTACAGAATGAAAGTCCATTATGGACTAAGAGTTCACTTTTACTTGTCGACTTCCACCAAGGGAAGAGCTGGGTATACAATTTGCTGCTCAAATAATTAGTCAAATTGCACATTTTTTTCTCTCCTAGGCCTGTGTTGTTTATATTACTGTTGTTTCAGTAGATAAACCTTTGTTCTTTTCATAGAAAGAATGCGTTTCTACGTTTCTTTAGAAAGTCATCTTTTATTTCGTTCTGAACTGGCATAATAAATGCTGCAGATTGTTTGAGCTATGTAAGAAAGAGCTTTAATTATACCTTTTTCAACTCTGGTTGAATGGTTAGACTTGAAATTTAAGTGTACTTTAATGTGTATCTTTTTTTAAAAACAACAGTTTTAAGTATTTGCGTTGTTTTGTCTTTTTGACAAGAAGATCGAGAAAGCCTGTAGTGTTGACATTTTCACGCTCATTGGTAAATTGGATTGATTCATTTTAAAAATGTTGATGTGGTTTAATAGCTTCTAGTTTTTCAGTTCCGAGTGTGCATAGAACGAAGACATGGCCCTCATATCTGAGCCATATGTTAGATTGTAAAGGAGGTGTAGCAGTGGTAGTTTCTTCAAAATGGAGACGAGGGTGAACCCATTGTTCATCCATCATTCATTTTGAAGGATCAATTTTTCCATTGAAAATGGTTGTGAGACAAATATAGGCCTAAAAGTACCATAATAACCTGAAATGATAGTTTGATTCTGGGTTTTAATGAACTGTTCGAATCTAATACAGTATCTCATGTGAATGTGGAAAGAAATATATAGGACGAACGTCACACAAGACGCAAAGAACACTAAGATCAAGTCTTACAGGCGATTTCCAATTGTCCGCCTTAACATATCCCCAACATGCAACAGGTCACAAAATATTTTGGGACGAAATTCTTCTACTATACCAACCCAAAACTAGGAAAGAAATGGACTGTTTAGAAACTATAGAAATCGTCAAAATAACTGACCTCTCAATAAACCGGGATAACGGCCTCAGCAAAATCAGCTATATTTGGCAAGGTCTATTCATCGTTCACACACTTGACTTCTACCTATATATTGCCACATGCTGACACTATTTCCGTCACATTTAATCCTTATTGTCCTTGTAACGATATATAAACCTTGGATTGCTTAGCACTGAACATACCTGAAGAAGTCAGACCAATGTCGAAACATGTAATATGTTCCATCATCAATAAAACTTTTCCTTATGCTTATAAGTCATTGTTTGATCACCTATTATCACTTCTTTGAAGATAATTTTCATTTAAGCCATTCGTAGCGACTTGTTAAATATATTCTTTTAAACACTTACTGCAGTTAAATATCAAAGGATACAATAATTGTCGGACTATTATACTACAAGTTTACGGCTCTTTAGCTTGAGCCTTATTCAGGTAGAAAGTATAAGACAGTATATTTCAATAGTATTATTTGAAGGCGCCACATAGCAACAATAGAAGCATATGAAAGGGTATCTACATTGTGTGTAAATTTGTTAACAATAATAGATATATAAACAGGTATTCATATACATCTATACTGTTGACAAAAACGTTCGCATACGTTTTACCTTAAAAAGGCCTCGGCTAAGAAGCCGAAAGCTCGTAGTCTTAATTTTTTAAAAAAAGAAGAAGAAGTTAAAAACTGTGACAGTTAAACAATTAGTATTTTCTCACAGTGTTAATTTGAAATACTATTTAAGGATAAGTTTTATGTTCATGGTTAAGCGGCCTATACAATCACTTAAGTCTAATTACTAATTAATTGGGTTTTTAGTGACTAATTATCAACTAGTTTTTTATTCTACGCTTTGCCCGCTAATATTCTGTCGTCTCTTAGAAAGTCCTAAGAATAGGACTGGGATTTATATTTAGAGAATCAGTCGTGCTATTTACTCATCCAAGCTCTCAAAATGTTAAGCTTAACAGGGGCTTAAATATTAATACTTATTTAGAGCTCTTTTTTTTTTTCAAGAGGTTATCCAACTTTTGCTGACTTCTTTAGTTGTTTGACCGAGTGCGTTATCAGCTGTTTCATTATGGAAAGATTTTGTGCATCTTTTATTTTCTTTGGTGTACTTCATATCTCATAACTTAAGTATTATTCTACTTAATTATGTGATATTTTTTCTATGGCATGATGTGCTATAGTAGATATGTCTTAATTACAGAGAATGATTATTCCATACTTCGTGAGAGGTCACATATAAAAATTAGTATTTGTAAAACCCATACATTTTTTCTGAACACCATCCTTCTAGCTTTCAGTTTATTACTAGTTTATTTAATGATGCTTTCTACCTTCACACTACAGTCGTTATTGTTCGTATAATAACTGTATTAACCACCATGATAAGCGAGATTCTGGTGCAGAGAAATAATAACATTTTATAAACATAGAGATAGAGTGACAACTATTCAACCAGCAACTTTGACAGTTAGTAAAAGTGGTGCTGCAAGGTGACCTTGAAACCGAAACTGATTATCAATTGACTTCATCAAATTATGGGATTGATGTTAGAGTTATAAACAAGTAGGTTTGTTATAATTACCTAATGTTAAATATTGAGCACAAAATATTATTTATCATTACGTGATGCATGTCTCTGAGGGCAGGAGTTTAGGGTGCTTGACTCGCAATCTGAGGGTTGTGGGTTCGAATCCCCGTCCCACCAAACATGCTCGCCCTTTCAGCCGTGGGAGCGTTATGTGACGGTCAATCCTACTATTCGTTGGTAAAAGAGTAGCCCAAGAGTTAGCGATGGGGGGTGATGACTAGCTGCCTTCCTTCTAGTCTTTCATTGCTAAATTAGGGACGGCTAGCGCAGATAGCCCTCGTGTAACTTTGCGCGAAATTTAAAACAAACGAACAATCCATTGCCCTCTGTCCATTTCGACGACAGACGGCAGAACGAAGCATATCCAAAGAGGGCAATGGAACGTTGAATACAACTGACAATAATACTACTGCATTCTTAAGATGAGAAAAAAAAAAGTGTTTCAAAGTCACCTTTTAGCGCCACCTATGGTAGTTGTTTTACTCATAAATGTATTTAGTATATGCTTCTAAACACTTTTATCAAAATACAAATCTAAGGTATATGGTTTTCCAACCAATTGTACATTTATATCTAAGTTTATTTTGTGCCAGCCTTGTAGATCGTTTGTGTTAGTGTTCTTTTTAAATGTATAATATTTCATTTCATAACATATTAATGAATAATTACGATTCAATATGAAATCTTTTCAGCTAGTATTTCCTCAAAGATATTGATATTTTTAACATAAGTCCCCCGGGTGGGGCAGCGGTAAGTGCTAAAATCCGAGATTCAATTCCCGCGGTAGAAACAGTAGATGCCTCAATATGGCTTTACTCTAAAACAAACAAACTTTTAACATAATAGTTTCTAAGTTTTGATTAAAACATGTAATACTAATTACAGTTAATTATGAAACCTTTTGAGGTGGTGTTTTCTAAAAGTTATTACTACTGATAAAAATAATAGTTTCGAAGTTTTGCTTTAGAAATGTAATGCTAGTTACAGTTAATTATGTTAATTACCGTTTAGTATGAAAACTTTTCAGCTAATGTTTCCTTGAATATATTAATACTTTTACCATCATAGTTTCTACGTTTTTCCCTAGAAATGCAATTCTAATTACAGTTAATAATGTTATAGGATTTATTTTTATTTGTATATTGTACCTTGAAAACTAATACCATTTGGTAGATTCATATTTGAGTATATCCTGTCTGGTAATTTTGTTTGTGCATATCTTAGTTATATTTAGTTAAAAATATGTATTTTTTTCTTTATTTCACAGTCACAACTTTGTAAATGATGAAAAATACAGAAGCAGTTTCAATGGTGGATTAACTTTTTATTCTAATGTACCAATTGAAAGTAAATATTTAGAATCAATATATTGGTTTTTAAAGTTGACAACCGATCATCATTTCTTCAAATATAATCGATCTTTGAAGCTGTACTTTTATATAGTTTCAATAAAACGCAATTTTGTTAAAATTTGTGAAAATAAATAAAAAAAACTGATTGAAACTTTTCTCAATTGATATCAATCACTTAGTTTGAAGATACTGATTCTCAGTAGTTTATCGTTTTTTTAGAATTATTGAAGTTTGTTTAATGATAGCAAAACTAATTTCAATATGCATGATTTTCTATGTTAGTTTTGCTTGAATAGAGGTTGTTTAACCATTAAAGTTATTCTTGGAACGTACATATTCTTCGTTTCACATTTTCTGAATAGCAGGCGATATGCTTTATACCTTGGTTAACAACCTATAATCCGAAGAGTGTTTTGTTAGGTCACGTAATCTCTTCAGTTATGATACACTTCGATGAATTAAAATTACTAAATTAAGATTTGTATTAGAATAACTGTCACAAAGTAAATCACGACATCGTCCAAAGAATGGCAGCACAGCAAAGTTTATTAGACATATCTACAAGAACACATAAATAGTTCGACATAATTACGACATAAACCCAGCTAAGTGTTCAACTGTTTTAAACCATTGACTTCACTAAACCTTTCCAAGTTTTCTGTGGCACGAAATTTGGATCGTCAGATGTGTACAGATTTGCTAAATGAGCCCCAAAATGAAGCAAATCTATACAGAGCTGACGTCAATATCTAGATATACATAAAGTCAACTGTTTTATCTGCACATTTTTCACATAATGGACAAATCAGAAGATTATAATGTACTACAATATTTGATACCCTGCCTTCTTAGATATTTTTCTCTTCGTTTTTTTAAAAGATAACGCTCCCTTTATGACTTCCCCGAATAACATATTGCTCTCAAAGTTCAGTTTCGTATGGATTTCAACATAATTCGTATCCTCCCGTTGTGGCACCAGTTCAGGAATAGGAGAATGTTTCATTAAATGTGAGTGTTCATGAAAATGTTTTGCGTAATATGCGGTTACTCCAGGCTATTCAGAGAAAATGTTGTTATTTAACTCGGTATAGAAGGTGTAAATTGCCGCTGTTAATTTACTACCAGTTAACTATTGGCAGACTGACTCAAGTGATTGATTAGATCGTGGTTATAGTTTGACGATTAGTGCGTACGACGTTGTCTTTTCATCTCTCCACACATCATCTTTTTAAATGCCGATCGAAAGTCAGGGCTGAAGATTGTGTAAATGATTGGATTTAACATAGAATTAACGTAACCTAGCCAAAGAAGAAAGCTGAAAAGAACAGCACTTGGTTCACATGGGGAACACAGGGACATCAACAGTGCCATTACAAAGAACGGTAACCAGCATATAACAAAAACTCCAGTTATAATGGCAAGGGTCTTGGCAGCTTTGCGTTCTCGCTTTGCCTCTAAGGATTCCTTAGTATGTCTCTTCTTTTTCTGGAGCATCTCTACTCGAGTGTTTTCTGAATGTTGAGTATTCAGGCCATTAGTTGAGCTGGCTGTATCTGGGTTTGATGTTTGAGAATTCAAGTTTGAGAATGATGTCATCTCACTGCAAGAAGGTACAGATGCTGTCAACGTTGAAGACTTTTTTCTGTTTTCTTTTTTGGTTATTTTTCCTGGCTTGTGACGAATTCGTTTCCTGGCTTCTCGGAAGATTCGAAAATATAGAATCAAGATCAACACCAGCGGTACGTAAAAAGAAGAAAACGTAGCAAACACCTGATAAGCAACGTCCTGACTGACAAGACACCTCTTCTCCTCTTCTACGCGTTTTAAGAAGTCGGGGTCTTTCCATCCAAAGATAGGAGCCAAAGAAACTACAAATGCAACAGCCCAAACTATAAAAATCATAGTGCCAATGTGTCGAGCGCTACGATTTCTGACATAGTCAACTTGCGTTACGGCCCAGAACCTGTCGACAGCAATGGCCAAGAGATGGAGGATAGAAGCTGTGCAACATAGGACATCAAAGGCAGTCCACACATCACAAAGGGCAGCACCAAGAATCCATTCTTGAGTAACCTCATACACAGCTCCGAGTGGCATTACAAGACAAGCCACCATTAGATCAGCTACTGCTAACGAGAGTACTAAATAGTTTCCAACACATTGCAGGTTTCGGTCCATAAAGATAGCAACAATAACGAAGACATTCCCAATAACTGTTGCTAAAATAAGAAGTCCAAGGATAACTGAGGTTATGCTCATGAGCACAACGTCCTCTGGCGGGTGAAAGGGAATATCGCTGCTTTCTGTAAGGTTTGTTGTTAAGTTATTCGAGAAAGTTTCGTACACAGTCATAGAAAAGTTATCAAAATTTAAGTCTGCTACAATGTCAATATCATCACTCCACATAGGAAAGGTATTTATCTGCGACTGAGTCCTCGTTTCGTTCATGGTGAATAATTACAACTAAATGTTATAACTTCAACATAAAGAAGTAACTATAAAAATATTTTCAAAGAACACCACGATATTTAAGTTTTTTAACTAAACAAAACTTAAATATTAGTTTAAACAAAAACAAGTATTACAACTTAACAGATTTAAATTATTTCGAATAGAAAACATAATATTTTACCAAATAGTCATATGTTTATCGTATTTGCAAACTTCCTTTTTTTGTATATAAATCATGCCAGTGGATTCAACCAATTAGTTTTAAATGACAGTATTATCCCAACAGTAACATATGATAACATGAAAGTTCGAATCACTGGATGTAAAGGTAAAGCAACATCATAATTTTTTGTTGCTGTATCTACTCGATGTCATAAAACTTGCGTATTAGAATAACATTTTTAAATATTCCATCGTATCTTCTACTGAAGCTAACAACAATATTTAGCGCATATATAATTCTCATTAATATATTCCATTGATAATATTAAAATAGAGTAAATCCAGTGATATTAGGAGTTATTTTTAGATAGATCATTTTTCTTGAATGAACAATTTCATAATCGGATTATATATTTGGAGGAAGCATTCCAATTAGTTATCTGCCCTAAATTACCTTCTTATTTATATAAAATTAGAACGTTGACGTAACTTTGAGCCTGTATGCAGCATTCGAAATCTTATATAATCGGACTACATATTTAAAAGAAGTGTTCCAAATTATAATCGTCCCTAAACCGCCTTCTCATACGTAGAAGATTAGTACGTTGGTGTGACTTGAGACAGCATTCGAGAATTTTCAATATTACCTGAAAAACAACAAAAAAATCATGAAAGAAACGCGTCCTAAAAGTTTATGATATAATTTGCTAAATGAACTCAAATAACGAGTTAAAAGACAAAGTAGTTTTTTTATCGATAGAAACAGTACAAAACAGAAATAAGGAAAACGAAACCACCATTATAAAAAGTCTTCTTAGCGACTAAAATGTGTTTCGTGACCACTTATTCAATCTAACGTTACAAGTCTTCAAATGTCTAATATCGTTATTAATGCAAATACAAATCAGTCACGAATAAATGTTTATGTTAGTTTCGTGTTTTTATGTTTGAAGATTTGCTCTATATACTCCATATATTAAATACAAATAATGCATGTGCTAAATTTGCTTTTCAACTCCATTGGATACATAAGAGCAAGCAACGACAAGTAGAACTTTAAAGCATTTTACAGAAACTAGCATCGACATCGTGTTTCAATAATTATTATTGGATAAACTCAGATATGAAATTATAATTGTTCACTAACATCTGACTCTCACTAAATTTAACTTAATAAACACCAAAATATAGTAATAAATATAACATTAAATATGACTGACAGTAACACATTTTGATTTAATAGACTGCAAAAATACATAAAATTAAAAACAATATATATTAAAAACTGTCCGTTGTTAAGGTTATTTTTGACTTATAAATAATATAAATATATATAAAATTAAATAACAAGTTAACATTAAACTGTCAATCAACTCGTTTATATTCCGTTAGATAAAAACAATACTATCTGAAACAAAGGCCTATATTTTGACCGCACCATATTTAGATTGAACAAATTACCGTTATGATATTTACGTTTTTGTCTTTTTGACGTAAAATTGATATTTCATTGCAGCCCACAACTGACGTAAATGCTGAATTCAAAGCTAAAACTTGAAAATCTAAATTTGTTTACATGAACAGTGAATATAACGTACACAATAATCGTTGTGAAACAGCTGTTTTACGTGGTGCAAAATGGCAGAAACAAAGTCTTAAAATTACTGAATCATATATTAACATATGAACGAGATGGCGTATAGAACATCTGAACAACTAATGAATTATATACATTATATATAAATGTAACAATAGAGCACAATTAAAAAATCAGTGTAAAGACAAGTTAATAAATATATCGTTTTCTTCTGTTTGGTAGTGGAGGTTTCGAACTTTTTGTTATTTCGTATAGACGAAGAAATGACAATCCATCATCTGATTAGAAAGAAAACTGCAGTATCACCAGAATGACTTTTCCCCGAATAGCTAGTCAAAACAGGGCATTCCATAGGACATGTTATATAGTTGAATAACAGCACAACTATGTGAAGTAAGAAGAAAAAAAAACGAAACACTTTTAACACGTTGTCATAAACCACCTGTCAACCCAGATCAGGGCTGGCGAACCTTTTTGAGAGCGTGTGCCCAAATTGTCGATAATTTTCAGAAAAATTCTTTCGCGTGCGCATGGAAATTTTGAGCAGCAAATCTACTGTTATTATTATTAATTTTATGTGTCATAAATCTTTTATATATAATTATTATATTACATAACTAATTAATTATAGACATATACAATCTCTGCGCCTTCAGATATATATATATATATTGGTCGGGTAAAAACAAACTTGGGACAGTAAATTCCGCGTGCCAAGAAAATTTTCTCGGGTGCCATATTGGGCACGTGTGCCATAGGGGCGCCATCCCTCACCAATCATGGACTGCAATTTATTAATGAGTAATGACGAAGCTCCCTAAAAGAACCGCTATCTCAATTTAATGTATACATATGGAAGCCCTGCTTCACAACATAACTGAGGAAGACGATTTGATCATTCTGTATATCCACTCATTTATTGAAAGATTTTCAGCACATTTCTCCGGATTTGTGGCTACAACTTTGATAAAACAAGCTGGGAGTAGTCCTATGTAGAATTTTACCAGAAACAAGCTGGGACTGTTACAGTATCCAATCTTACCGGAAACAAGCTGGAACTGGTACTGTGTCGAATCTTACCAGAAACAAGTTGAAACTGGTACAGTGTCGAATCTTACCGGAAACAAGCTGGAACTGTTACAGTATCCAATCTTACCGGAAACAAGTTGGAACTGGTACAGTGTCGAATCTTACCGGAAACAAGTTGGAACTAGTACAGTGTCGAATCTTACCAGAAACAAGCTGAAACTGGTACAGTGTCAAATCTTACCAGACATAAACTGGAAATGGGACTGTGTTGAATCTTACCAGAAACAAGTTGAAACTGGTACGGTGTCGAATCGTATCAGACATAGACTGGGAATGGGACTGTGTTGAATCTTACCTGAAATAAACTGGATTGGTACAGCGTTAAATCTTACAAGAAACAGGCTGAGTCTGGTATTGTGTTGACTCTTACCGAAAATTGTAGTCTAAAGAAGTGAGCTATCTTCGAATAATTTGCGTTCGCAATTTCAAACTGACTATAAATGAATGCCTTCAAATTAATAACGTCACATATACTCGACATCTTCCTGCAATATATAGAGATAAATGACCTATAAATCGTTTTATTTCAAATATGTTGATTTAAGCCTAATATCACTGCTACATTATCACTACACCATAAGAAAAATGCCTCTCCAAGTTTTAGTTACTACTTATACTTCTAGCAACAAGGGAAAAAGTGAAACAGTGACAGAACATCGGTAAAATTATATCTACAGACGGATAGTGTTCTTTTTTATTATGTTTAGCCTTTATTGTATTATCGTTCAATTTTTAGCTACTGAATCTGCACTACTGTAAATAAATGAATAGTATCAATTATATCCAGATTTCGTGTACTGCTAGTAAACTGTGAGGAAATATTTTTGCGTTTTTTTTTTTTAATAGTAAAATACTCCCTTTGTTAAGGTTTGTTGAATTAATATTATTGGTTCTGACGTTTGAAATAATTTCATTGTTATTAATAATTCTTAAACTGATGAAGATTATTTTCAATTATTAACTCAATATACACATTTAGGCCTGTCTTAAATCTCCTAAGTTCGCCGAACCTATTGAGATTTTATTGATGTTAAAACTGAAAAAATTTTAAACAGTGAAAATATTCAACTGATTTTTTACTGTTTTTCAATCTTTATAGGTTTTACTTTATTCTGTATTGACTTATTGATATTATGGCCACTATACAGTGTTTATATAGAATTAACTTCATTCAGTTGCAAATTGTTATCTTCTGTTCTGATATTCTCCGTGGAATGGTTTAATAATTAGCATAACCGGACGATATGTCCGAAGGTCCATTATTCACGTCCTATTACAGCATAATAGTTTGTTTGTAGTTAAGCGCAAAGCTACACAAAGTGCTATCTGTGCTTTGCCCATCACGGGTATCGAAACCCGATTTCTAGCGTTGTAAGTCCGCAGACACGCTGTGCAACTAAGGGCTACAGCATAATAGAGCTTTGCACTTCGGGCTGTAGATGTACTTTAACAGTGGCGGTCAAATACCATTAGCTCAAGAGTTGGTTGATTAATTACTTTTCATCTAGTCTGTTAGTTCTAATTAGTAACGTCTCTGCGTAAATATTTCTTGTATAGTTCTATTAGTTCCTTAAATTACAGGACTGAAAAATGACGCATTAAACAACACCGCTTTAAACCTAATGTCTACAATCCCAATAAGGTCAACCTTTTTAATCAATCACTCTGTTTTCACTCTTTTCTTCCTCCTCAACCTCTCCAGTTTCACTATATCCTAATGAAGATGCAACTACTACAAGTAGTATCACTATACTTGTCTGTTCTTTACAAATACACACCCCCAGTGGCTCAGCGGAGGGTCTGAATGCTTATAATGCTAAAAATCAGATTTTAATACACGTTGTGGCCACAGCACAGAGATCCCATTGTTTAGCTTTGCGCTTAACAACAAACAAACTCTACAAACACATCTATACACCTCCAGGTAAGACGCGTAATTCTTCCTTTCTTATGTTGGAGCAGCTCAAATCTGTGCCCTGCCGTTATCTAATGTTGCCAATTAAGCTTACTTTCCTTTCTTTTTAGACACAGAGTGTTCTGCAAAGTAGCAACAGTTGTTGTTTTTTAAACTAATTCCAGAAACCACATGCTTTTAGCAACAGTTGACATTATTTTAGACTAGTTCCAGAATCCACCTGCTTTTAGCAACAACTGAGGTTATTCTAAACTAGTTCAAGAATCT